CCTTTTCCAACTGTTGTAAAAACCTTTTCCTCTCATTAAGCAAGGCTCACTCAGTAATTATTTCTTTATGAAAGTAAAAGCAGAAGAATGTTTCTCTTATTAAATCAATGTATTTATTCTTTTGAAGTTGCAGGAACCACAATCAAAGAAAAAAGTGTGTTGAATGTCATCAAATCATTTTCCTCCACCCATTGTTTTAAATTGTTTGCCTAGTTCTAACATATACTACACTTACATAAGTTGTTTATGAAGAGACAAATTAATAGTCTTTGCAATTGTTTCTGCTGGAATTTGGAGCGCTGACAAATAAATTAGTAGACAATGGCAATTCTACATGAATTAGCTTTTAAGTCTCTCTAAGATGTTGATGCAGAACTTAATAAGAGACTTATTAGGAGAAGTAGGACAACTTAATTCAGATTGATTATAGACTTTGGGGAAGACAGCCGGGGTTCAACTGAAACTGAAAAGGAACTTATATGGACTTCAAAGTATGCTAAACAGATGTCTGAAACAATTACTCTGCTCAGCCTTCTCAGAAGTTTCAAAGGCAGACTGGGAATAGCATGGTAAACAAAGGTTCTATTTGTCCAAGTTGAGATAGAGACTTTAAAAACATACATACACAATGCTATCTAAACTCAGATGCTTTGGGTAAAGAAAAGCATTTGACATTGTTGTCCTAAGTAATTTGCTTTTAGCTTTACAAACAAAGCAGGAAATGAGAAGGACTACATGGGAACAAGTAATAAGCGCTCTTAGCAACAGTAACTTACAATTAATTTCACAGTGAACAAAAAATTTGGTAGGCATTTCTAAGATGAGTAATTTGTGCTTTACTTTCTAAGCTCAAACAAAGCCAACAATGACCTTTTCGTTGTATTTTGAAAGTGTACAGTGAGCCTGTCCTACTAGGTACCTTTTTCTAAGAGTTTTCTCAGCTATTAATGGCCAAATCATGTGCTTTTACACAACAGAGCTATGTGCATTGAAAGCTTGATCAAGCCTGCGTATTCTCAAAAGAAGCAATTGGTTCCATATCTAATCTAGTTTTATGAAGGACTATATGTTTTGTTTATTTTTTCTTGATCAAATGCTTCATACACAGCCTTGATACCGTAGCAAGAACAAGAATAGCAAAAGCATCCCTAAAGTAGTTCATTTGCTTGCAGTTCCTAGAACTGAGCAACCTGTCAGTAAAATTTCCCATCCTGTTCCAGGCAGCAAAACTTTCCTTCATTACGAAGATATAATTTGCCCACTAGGGAGATAACTGTATAGAAGTTTCTGGTGCACAAGCCTGAGGACCCGAGTTTGGGTCTTTAGCAACTAAATAAATGCTGGGTGCAGCAATGCATGCCTGTAACCCTGTGGGGTGGAGACAGGTAGACTCCAGGAAATAGTTGGCTATCTAATCAAGCCAACTGATGAGCTTCAGATTCAGTGAAAGGGTCTGTCTCAAAACAAGAATTGACAGTAGAAAACAAATCCAAACATCTACAAAACAACATAGAGAAGTGATTGAGGATGGTATTGCAAAATCAACCTCTGGCATCAATATAAGCAAGCATGAGTCAATACACACAGACACACACGCGTACACGCGCGCGCGCACACACACACACACATTTAAAATGATAGTATTTGACACTTAGGGAACTTATATATTTTCTATCATTCTTAAGGCTGTCTTGTTTGTAAGAATTCGCTCTATCTATGCATCCTCTAACTCTGTAAGAAAGCATTTCAATTTTTTTGTAAAGTTCCCCTATATGAAAAGATGTCATGTCCTGTCAAGTTGATGATAAATATAATATAAACAAAAAATTAGGACCATGGTTAAGAAGCAAATGACAGTAAAGGAAGACAGAGCTACATGAAGATGGTTGCAAGCTGTTTGTTTACCAAAGTGAAAATGAAATTCTAATATATTCCATCACAGTTAACATTATCTGTTCAGAGGAAATATACTTTGCTTTTTCAATATAAAATTCTCTGATAGAATTTCTTTGACAAAGAAATTCTCAAAAAAGGAAAATTCTTGGAAAGAATTTCCTTAATAAAGAAATTCTCAAAGAAAGGAAGCCACAAGTATTCAGCCTGGAAGGGCTAAGAAGATGTAATTTTTAGTTTTCCACTTAACGTTTTTGATATGAAAGTTGAACATAAATACCAATGGTATAATGGCTTCAATATACTCCCTGGTACAGTTTAAATACCATGAAATCGGACTCAGTTAAAATGTCAAGAAAGTGCAATCAAAATATCACATTAAAAGGGATTTATAAGAAAATTCAGAGAATCTCTTCCTTTGGCTTTCCCAGTAATATTTTATTATAAGCCTAAATATGCAAAAGCAAAATATAAACAAATAGATGTGACAAATTCACAGATTTCAAGATGAAAGCCTGGGAACTGACTTAGGGGTAGATGCAATGGTTTTATAGCTGAGTGTGTATCAGTGTCATATATTAGAACCTGAGCTCAATCTTCAGCATGAAAGAAAAGGAAAAGGACAAGAATGAAACCAAATAAACTAAGAACATAGTTAAAAAATAATGGACCTTCTTCTATATGGAGAAACAATGGTTGATTAGAGCAAGAAAACACCAGTGACCCCCAAATACTTTCACTATATAGGACTGTTCGCAGAGTTTGACTTCAAAACTTACTCTATTAGTACCAGCTACTTTAAATGGAAGCAGGAGAAGCTCTGAAGCCCCAGAGTTCAAGGGCATCCTAGATGAATTTAATGAGAATCTGTCCCTAAATCAGTCAACCAACTTACCATTCAATCTTTCTATATATTTATCTTCCCCTTTCTCTTCTTTCCTCCCTCTCTTTCTTTTTCTTACTGAAAAGGCTGAGACTGCACCTCAGCACATGGGAAACATTCAGTTAAATACTCTCTCCAGCTATACTGCTTTCTGAAAGGCTCTGAGTGCTCCTTTTGTATATCTATGTATATCACCAAGTGATTCAATTATTTGTGTTTCCCATTACAGGAAAGTAAAATACCTGTGTAGTCAAATAAGCATTGATATTATTTCTCTAAGGTGAGTAATCCTAACTGTATCCTTAAAATGCTTGGCAAGCAACAATGATTATGGATTTTGAAAGTAGAATGGCTTTTAAAATGCAAATTTTATTCCAGCAGGTTTTTCTTATGGTGTTTTATTTGTAACACTAGGAATTCTTAGTGTGTCAAATAGCTGATATGAACATGGCATTACTTTGTCTTGGTTTGTAATACTTATCACCATGAAGAAGAACAGCCACCATTTCCATAAGGTCCAGGGATTTAGGATTACATTTTATCCTTTCTCCCAAATCCAAAGGCCATACTAGCTAACTAAGAGATACAATCATAAATCCAAGAGAAGGATATGTTTTGTAGTGACACAAACGACAACTTTTAAAACACTAATGGAATTTGAAAATGGAGAATGGAGAACGGTGTTTTGAAAGCATCCCTAGGGGACTTGAGATGGCACAGCTACATCAAATGCTCTTCTCTTTAGCTAGCTACCTGCCCATTACTTGGGAGTTATTGCTAAGTTAAAATCAACACGGATAAAGTAGTTTTAAAGATGCTTTTTCTTTTTAAAAAATCAATTTCAGTCAGTTTAATTTGCTGAACTCAACTACCACCATCAAAGCTGTCAAGTTTCACTCTTCTGGTGGAGTTGGGGGAGTGATAGGTATTTATGGAAGACTACAAAAATAGGTGATCTGTACACTGGGTGAGAAAGGTTCAGTAAGAGTTGATCAGACATACAAAGTTTGGTGATTTGGACAAATGGAAAAATACATGGCATGGCAAGCAGTTATGAGAAAATATGATCATTTTGGATAGCATGGAAAGAGTATGCTGGATTATCTGCATTTGAGTTGTTAAAATTGAGTAGCCAGGCTTAAGAAGAAGACAGATAGCCACCTTATTTAATAACTGGACTTCATTACATCTTTTAACGAGTTTTGGGTTGCAATGGGAAGAGTCTGGATGATGCAGAAATATCAGTAAGGGAATTATGCATTCACTTACTCAATATTTAAAAGGCAATGTTCAGAATATGCCACACACACACACACACACACACACACACACTACTGGCCAATAGATATATGTCATCTTAACAATGGAACAGGTAGGGACTTGGAAAATACACTGGTTGAAAAAAGGGGAATAACAGGGGAAAACTTTCTGAGGAAAATAAACAATGGCATGCAGAAAATGAAAATGCAGAAAGACGTAAGGCTGAACTTAAATTTGCTACTAGTTTATGATAAAAAAGAAGGACTGGAGAACAAATAGTTTTGTTTCAGATTCGCTGTCAAATTACTAGAGAAATAGTCTCAAACTGGGTCTTCTGGTTTTGGCAAATTTTATTTTTATTCTGTTCTGATACTAAGTAACACCACATACACACACACACACACACACACACACACACACACACACACACATACGAATCCATAAAAACATAATCAACCAATCCCACAAACCCATCTACTTCATGACAAATTAATTTCTTAATGGCCAAAATCAAAATTACTTTTGACCTTGTAACTTTCTAATATTTAATCTTATGAGCCCCGGGGTACTACCTACCACACTAATGAGACGTCTTAATATTTCATTTTAAGTTACTGGAGATAGATTAAATGATTACATCACTGACTTTTTTTTGAGGAAATCCTGTGTGAAAGACTTCAAAACAAGGAAAATAAAATGGGCTACTTTCTAAAGCTTGTGGCCCGAAAACTTCACTTTGTGGGATGAAAACAGTGTGTACCTCAACTGGATATGCCATGCTTTGTAAACTCCCTTTCCCTTACTGAGTGCGGAAGGGGTAGAAAGTAGGTGGATGGAGGAAACAGGAGGAATGGTGGAGGGAAAACTGGTTGGTATGTAAAATTAAAAAAATAAGAATAAAGAAGATTCTGTATAAACTTAAGTGAGTACTTTTGGGGTGGTCTCTCAAAGCAAAACACAGTACCTTGACTTTTTCAAGGTGGTCTTGGAGAGAGTCAATGAGGAGATCCCCAACTGGCTGCCAGGATCCCTTGAGCACCTCAGCTTGACGCAGCTTGAGGTCCAGCTCATCTTCAGCTTCCTGAAGTTCCCGCAGTCTTTCAAGAGCCTCGTCTATTTTCCTCTGCCAGTCAGCTGAGTGTACGTTCAACTTGTCCCATTCGGTGTTCACCTCTTCAGCCTGTTTCCGTAGGAGCCGCGTGACATTCTGGGCTCTCTCTTCAGGTGGAAGCTCTAAATTGGCAATATGACAAGGTTTCAGGCCACATCCATTTTTGTTAAAAAAGAAAAAACATTGTTGAAAAGGTCAGACTAGAAGAAAGGAAGGGAATGTAGATTAACAAGAGGCCAACTTCCTGATTAATGGCTCTTTTACACTTTGGCATAAATTTTGATACAGTCTAGCACAGCTAAACTGTCTGTCTTCCTTAGTAAATCTGTTCTACTTTTCTGTCAGTCAGATAAATCAAGATTCATTTAAGCTTTTGGAGAGAAAGATGTTTGCACATGCCGAAGAGCTCTAATTTATTTCAGCCAGGCTCTTAAACTGGAAATTAGCTTGTAGTCTTTGTAACAATAGAATTCCTTTCCACGGATAAGCTCCTTTGTTTACTATCTTCTAAATATTCAAATGGCTGATCACGGATTACTTGATTTATGACTGTGAAAACAGGTTTATGCACTGTGCCTTATGATTCCTTGCTCTTTTTTGAAACCTACATTTAATTTGAATTGATTTAACTCAATTGTTTAACTCAGAAATATGAGAGCCGTCCAGGCTCTGGCAGCAAGCATGGATGGGCGGCTCTGTCAACCCTGATCCTTTATCAATATGTTATTACAGTTCCACATTCAATTACCTCTGGGCTCCTGGTAGAGCTTCTCTAGTCCTTCCAAAGGCTGCTCTGTCAGAAATATTCTCACAGTCTCCAGAGTACTCATGATTACAGGTTCTTTAGTTTTTAATTCCCTCTTGAAGGCCTGCGAAATGAGATGAAAAGAAATGTTTGTTTGGCTTCTGGAATGCTCCTCAAAATTAATCCTGGGTGCTCAGAACTTGTTTACATAATTCCCCAGTCAATTTCTCTCTCTTTTATTTATAAACCGACAGTCATAAAATATAAGAAAGGCTACCTGGGTCTCAATGTTAATGAGGAAGCCACTGTGTTCACAAAACTTTTCTGGGGAGAAGTGGAGAGCTTTCTAGACAGGTTTTGTGTTATCGTTAATATTAGTACACTTTGCTTCTATAACCAGACTCTCAGATCTACAGATAAAACCACAAGGTATATAATGCAAAATCTAACCCTGGCTAAGGAAGATTTAAATATTCTCAAAATAATCACATCTAGTACACAGTGGAAAGCATTCACTGCTAGGCGGGGGGTATTCAGACTGTTTTGAAGTATACAACACACTCAACTAATAACAGTTCTGTCCAAATGTTTGATGGTGTGTAAACTAGTGCAGTAAAATCATGCTATTGAAAATTATATTTTTGAAGAACTACCAATTATATTTTATATTGTGACTCTTCTGAGAAGACTAGAAATATTTGGAACTATTATGGATGCAGGGATTGTGAATACCTGTCTATAAATGAACAGACCTAGAATAGATATCTTCAAACCATTTGGTTCACCAGTCAGGCTGGTTGACAATTTCAATCTCCAATCTATATTTTCTATTATGGGGATTAAGAGGAGAAGAAATGATTAAGTTTTGTTTTCAAGAACTTATTGGACCAAAATACGAAATAAAAATGTGGGAATGGGGTTGTAGCCACTGTCTATCACAGGGAGCAAACATGCCCAAAGATGAACTAGAAGGTGTTTCAGGTTGAATCCTAGCTCTGGGACAGCCCTAAACAAATCAACACACCAAAATCAAAGAATGAAAGAATAAAAGAAACATTCTACATGTGGAGGAAAAACTCTATAGTCTTACATAATCTAGTGAGGCATAGTGTGATAGTAGAATAAATTAGTATTCAAAAATATAAAATATAGTTACTGACCCAGATTTTATTATATCATGGGTGACCACGTTAATAGAAGATATTAAGTATCACATAAGTGATAATATATCTTATTAAAAAATACTGATAGCAATTATTCCTCTGACCTAGGCTTAATTATGTACCATTTTCAACTCTATCTTATTTTTAGCAATGCTGTTAAGTGGGCTTAAGTCATCTTATATCACTGGAAAAACACAGTGGTGTTTTCCTTTAAATTTCGTACATAGCACTCTGATACAAAAGTACCTCCGAACTATATTATACCATATTTGTTGGTAAAAATCCTAGTGGTGCTCACCATTTAAAATAACTCTGAGTTTGATATTTTATACAATAATCGATCTGTCAAGGTTATTTACAATCCAGAAGAGACAGGCAAGGTGTCTGAATAAAAATAATGGAATATTTGGATTCAGTCTGCAGATGGAAAAGCAATTTCTATATTGTAGACTATTCTAGTGTCCTTGAAATCACACTGGGAAAATGATTATTTACTTTACTTACACAGAAGTCCAGCTTTACCTATAATATTTCATTTGATTTCTGAGTATGTGTGTTTGTGCATCTTCCCATATGCATACACACACACATTTTTGTACCTGTATATGTATGCGTAGATTCTGCTTGCAGGGTTGTATTTTTTTATAATCCAACATTCACAAGTACAAGCAAATAATCTCTCTATTTGTCTGTATACATGGAGCGAACCGTGATACTGGCTTTGCTAATTATAAAGAAAAGTGGCTCCCTATAGCAAACTTGTAAGTCTGAGTAGTTACACTATAGACCAGAAACAAAAAGTTTTGAGTAAATTGGTGCCTCTATTTAGTAAACTGCAGTATGCCATGAATAGTTAAACATAAGAATCAGTTAAATAGGACCTGGGAAAGATATCTAGGAGAGTTTAAGTACATAGAGTTCTAAAGCATAAACACGGGCTAGGGAAGAAGTATTAGAGGGCCTTTAAAGAAGAAAAATATGCATGTATAGAGACATGTGGCAAACACCATATCATATGCATAACCGTCTCTGAACAGGCTTTCCCGTCTAGAAAATTAGGACTAAAGAAAGACTTATCGGAGTTTAAGTAAGGCACTCTCATTGTACAGAAATATAGTGCAGTTTTAAAGAAGAATTTGGACATCAGACTCTTGAAAAGTTTACTCAATGTTTGTAAGTAATTAGGAGCCTTTGTAAAAATCTAGGAATGGCAGTGACATGGGTGCATGTGTGTTTAGGCAGGGTAGAAGTGATCTGAGAGAGGAAATGGGAAAAAAGGTGAGGGAAGGGACGAAGATAAATTTTGAACAGAGAAGTGAGGGGTTAACAGAACAATAGAGGTATGTGAAAAAGTTTCAAGGAACCTAAATTTTTTACAACACATAAGTCAGTGTACAAATATACATATGTTGTTTAAATAAAAATTTCACATCTGGGCTGACAATAATTTCTTCAAGAGTCAAAGACAACCAAACAAAATGCTTATCACTAGTCCTAAAAACCATCTTTTGCCTTGCTGGTCAGGGCTGTCTAAGAGAATCTTGTAACATCACAAGCTATTGCTTGTGATAGTTAAGTTCCTATTGTTAAGGACCCTGATCACTTCAAACCTACGACACAACAGCCCTACTGCTGGCACTGACTTGCAAACCTCTTCCCTGAGAATTAGCTTTTCTGATACTCGAAGGCTTTCAAGCTTATAAAGGAGGGGGAGGTATACAGTCCTACCAAGCTATGATGTTTGTGAACCACAAAAAAGACCAGAATGACGTGATAACCCTAGGGGTGTAACAGTGCTGCATACAACTTGGTGGTAACTAGCAGTGCTATACTTGAACTCAAGACCAACTCTGGAGAAGGGAAATCTTGCCTTGAGAAGGAAATTAAAACCATTGTATGCAGAGGCTGCTATATATTTTTATTTTTCGAGACAGGGTTTCTCTGCATAGCCCGGTTGTCCCAGAATTCACTCTGTAGACCAGGCTGGCCTTGAACTAAGAAATCTGCCTGCCTCAGTCTCCCATGCAACTTATACTTTATCATAGTCAGGCATGCAAGGAAGTAACACATTGTTCATAGAGTTTTGGGAAGTCATGGGGCAGTCTTAAAATATGTTTCCCACAGATAAGACAGGGGGCTCCTCTGCAAAGCAGGCGATGGAGAAGGGTAAAAGTAGAATACGAAAGAAAACTAACTGGAGGCAACTAAAAGACGACTTTCTTGAAAGAATGTGAGAATGCCACCCAGAGCCAGAGCATGAAGAGAAAAAGAGACATGGTAGTTAAGTACAGCTGTTTGAAGGAGCAAGAAGGACTCATAGATTTATATTGAGTAAATGAGTGAATTCTGGGTACAATTTAACTAAGTGTAAGGAAATAAACTTTCCTGGATTACTCTACGCACCTCTAATAGTTTTAGCCTGCTGAGAACTTTCCCATCCCATGCAAATTAGATGTGTACCATCTGTCTGATTAATTTTTCAATTTTCTCTGATCTAGGAAGGACAAATGGTTAAGGCCTTATTTGGTAGACTGCTAGACTAAATTTCTAGTTGTCAGAAAAAAAAAAACAACTCTAGAGGGCTATAAGAAAAATACATAAAGCCCAGAGTCTGGAAATATTTCTAGATTGTAAAAACTGAGGCATGTGGGGCATTGAGATAACTCTTTGAAAATCAGTTAGATTAAGGCTTATTATGTTTCCAAGAAGATGTATTTGGAGAGGAAGACAGCTGGCCCCATCTGTATAATCTTTGGTCTCTTGCCTATACAGCAACAAAGTACTCACATGGAAAGATTTTTATCAACATGCCCTAGGGCATGTCATTAGGAAAGAAAGAGGAGGTAAGACTATTTATTGTAAGGCAATTAAAAAATCTGTCTTGGATCCAGAATACCTTATGTGTATATTCAAGATGAAATTAATACAGCCTAAAATTATAATCCTACTATAATGAGGGTGGGCATTCTGTATATGGGACATCTTGGAGACATCGAATTCTTTCTAGCAGTAAAAATTAAAGTCTGTAGGAGAAAATTATCTAAGCATCATTTTCTCATTCAGCTAATATATGTTCAATGCCTACACGTCAGTATTTAATGACATAAAGAAAAGTTGAATGTTTTGAGAGACCAAATATGAGGAGGTTAAAAGCATTCATGAGAATTTTAAGAAGGTTATTCATAGAGGCAAAGACAGATTTGCAATAAATAGTACTCACTGGACTGGTTGAGAGACTGAGACAGACATTTAGTCAAGGAAAGAGCAGAAAAGGAAATAGGTATAGCTAGTGGAAATTACTTGAACAATATATTTTGACCTAAAGCAAAAAAACAAGGAGGACAGAACAGTAAGTCAGAAATGTTAAGGAGCAGAAGGAAAAGATGCTCTTTTAAAAGAACAGTGACTTGAATATGAAAGACTAAAGGTAGTAATAAGCTAACTATATATTGTATTACACAGAGTGTTTTCAAGAGATTGAACTTTTAATGTTGTTTCTATATGTTCTTTTGTTGTTTGTCTTTTGAGACAGAGTTGCATTATGTAGCCCAGGCAGATTTTGAATCTTTGATCCTCCTGCCTCAGACTTTTGAGTTTCTGAATGGAGGGCCACGAGTACCAGCATGCAACAAGACGCTGGATAAGCAAGTAAACTTAAAACAAGGACTACACCAGGAAATTCAGACAAACTCTGGAAAACCAGGATAATCACACGAACAGGAATAAATGATACAAATACTAGGCACAATACAGATCTGGATTGAACAAGCTGGAGATAATTGTTGTAGCAACATCTGTAAAATAAGGATTTAGATTAAAGGTCACAACAAACTGAAAAAAATCTAAAATATGTGATAGTGATGTGGGAGTGTCATATATCAATCTTTTGATTTCATTGGTTAAGCAATAAAGAAACTGCTTGGCTGGCCCTGATAGGTTAAAACATAGGTGGGGGGAGTAA